AGCTCCCATTCAGATGGTGTTGAAGTTAGTATTCACCTAGTGTCATTCTGCAAAGAAACCCATTTTGCTCTTCAAAAGGCTCTCATTCATCTTGAGGACATTCTTGGCCAACAGGTATTATTATGATAATACCTTAAGTTTATTTAGTGCCCCCACTCTTTTTTCGGGGGGGGGTCAAAGCCAGTTGGGCAGTCAGTCAACAATGTTTATTGAGGTCTTTTAGTGTGTAGAAATGTGTATTAAATCACTGTCGGGCCCCACCAGCCAGTCCACCACATACAGCTCTGTGGTCACTGTCAGGGGCTCAGGGGTCATGCCTTGGGTGCTGCACCTGCCTGTCTGATTCCCAGTCAGCAGATTCTATTTACCTAATTGACTTAGGTTGCAGCAGACCTGATGTCATACATACTCCTGCAGTTTTGTCTCCTGTAGATTCTGTCAGTCCTGACAAGCCACAAGTGTCCTATCCAGGCAGAAGGTGCCCACGAAGTTCAAAGTAGGAAGCACAAAGTTGTCCCAAACTGAAGTGACTTAACTTTTCTCTTTTAAGTAAAGGAAGAGTTGGCTTCCTGGGAGCTGATGGTTTAGGTGCTTCCCTGAACCCCTGGCCTGCCTGTTGGGAAACTCCCCTGGAATTTGGTCAAAGCACATATCCCTCAGTTCACGCACAATAATGGGAAAGGAATTTCCATGGTGTGAAATTTTGGAATGATGCAGCAAACACAAGCCAGTGGTTCAAAAATTAGAAAAAAAAAAAAAAAAGGACAAGACAGAAGGAAAAAATTTAAATATGACTTTCCCAATGCCCTTTTGGGGACAGCACTGCTTTTCTTGTGTACAGCCTTCATCCAAGCCATGCTTCCTCTGAGTGTGTACTTCTTTGTGTAACTGACACCATGTTGTTCAAAGCAGGATGGTTTTTCCATCCAATGTCATAGCATGAAGTGGACTGTCACAGTGTATGGATAGGAATTCTATTCGTTTATTCTCCGAGCAACACCATGTTTCTTGGGTACTAGTCAAGCACCAAATTTTAAAAATTCAGCAGGCCAGGGACATTATTAATGGCAGCATCTGCTTAGCATGTGTAGTGTAAGACCCTGGGTTAATCTTGCACCTGTGGCTGGGGATGGAGTGCAGGCTCAGGGGTGGGGTGGCTAGAGAAGTTGGGGAGGTGGGGAAGGGAGGAATACAATATCACAAAAAATACATGACGATAAAACTTGAATTGTTTTAAAATAAAAATAAAAAAACTAATGACAAACTATGCATTTTATGTTCCTTTAACAAGTATATTTCTACATATTCTCCACATAGATAATTTTGAAATTTTGTGTTCAGGTGTGCACAGATTAACAGTTGCTATGAACTGTAACAAAAACCAAAAAAAACAAAAAACAATAAAGACATAGCTTAATTACCAGTGTTTTCCGTTTTTCATATTAAAAACAATAGAGTTGGACAGGTCAGGGCCACTAAGGGAGCCAGGTTTCTTCTGGCTCTTTCCTTGATCACCCTTAAGTGGATAGTTTGGGTCCCATGACCCCAAGATGGTATCTTTTGTTGTTTCCAGGCAACAGATAGAGGGATGTTGGGCTCAATGCATTCATTTTGTTCTTACTTGCTTAATGCAGCTTAACAGATAGAAGAACAGCGAGCAACAGGCTGAGGACTTCCAGCATAGAGTGAAAGAATTTGAACACTTATGATGCCTCCACTCCCCACCTCCATCCAGGTCATAAAAAGGCAAAGAAAGGTGTGCCTGGAAGGGCCAGGGAGGCAATAAAAGCCTATGAAAGCACTAGGTGTGCAAGCCTGAGTCCCTAGGTTTCACTTTCAGATCCCCACAAGGAGTGAGGTGCCGGTTGGCTCATCTGTAGTCCCAGTGAATCATGGGAGATCACAGCTCAGCTGGTACAGTGCATAAAGCAGAGCTGCAGAAGCAATACAAGAGATCCTGGCTCAGCTAGGTGCAAGCCAGAATTGACTCCTGAAAGTTGTCCTCTGAACACCATACACAAGTATGCTATCTTTCTTATTGTTACTTATTTCAGCCTTGGTTTTCCTTAACACAAATGTCGCTCTGGAGAAGGGGTTCTGATTACCATTGACTTTTTTTCTAAAAAATTGTTCCTTGTATTATTAATATTTCATGGATTCTCTCCTTTTAGCAGCTTAAGTAATCTGAAAATATCTTTTCTATGTCAGAAGGCTTGTTTTTGGAATCTTTATTTTGTTACTATTGTTTTTATTTAGTGTACAAAATAATGGAGTTCATTATGAAGTTTTTATAGAGCATCTCATTGTCCTTTCCTTGTAGTGACCCCTCCCCCATTCCTTTCTCTCACCCTGTACTCTTCCTCCTGACTTCTTTCTTCTCCTTTCTTCTCTTAAGTAACTCTCATCATCTTTCACAACGTATATATACACCAAGATTCCACAAAAGAGAATTTGAAATATTTGTCTTTCTTCCTCTCAATCTCCCTCTTTCCTGTTCTTTCCCCAGTTTCATCTATTTTCCTGATGCCATAATTTCATTTTTTGACAGTTGAATAAAATTCTTCTGTGTACACCACATTGCTTTTATTCATTCCTCTATTGATCGGAAACTAGCTTCCTCCGCTCTAGGCTATAGCAAGTATGCCAGTAGTAACCATGGATATAACTTGAGTTCTTTTGGGTATAGATCCCAGAGTGGGGCAGCTGGATTGCATGGTAGTTCTACTTTTAAATTTTCGAGGAACTTTTTTATTTTTTTGTATAATCACTTTATCTGAGAGAATAAATACTGCTTGCTTATAGGATGTTATATACCATGGAGTGTTCTTTAGTTCAGTAATTGTCTACTAGGAAATAAAGCAAGAAATACAGAGATAGCATGCATTCACATTTCCACAACAAAGCAGGAAATTGAAGTGTGCTATGACTTCTCAGAAGATATCTAGATGATGACCTTCATGCTGAAAGGTTATTCTGAGAAAAATAATATGTGTTAAGGTTCCAGAGTGAGAGGGCATTCTTGGGATTTGGAAATCAAATTGGTGAGAGTTGCAGTGAGAGGAGAAACCAGCGAGGTTGAGTAGTATATGCACCAAGCATGTTCTAGACTGGAACCATGATGGAGAAACTTAGAATCCTGGTAAGAAATATTTTCACACATTCTATATTATCTAAGACTTTTATTATTATTATCATTATTATTATTATTATTATTATTATTATTATTTTTTTTTTTTGGTTTTTCGAGACAGGGTTTCTCTGTGTAGCCCTGGCTGTCCTGGAACTCACTCGGTAGACCACGCTGGCCTCGAACTCAGAAATCCGCCTCCCTCTGCCTCCCAAGTGCTGGGATTAAAGGCGTGCGCCACCACCGCCCAGCACTATCTAAGATTTTTAAGGCAGAAGTTTTGTTTGTGTTAACCAGACAAGATGTTAGGAACTCAGAGCTTATTTATTTATTTTTTTTGCATTAATACAATTAAAAATAAGGTTTCCAGCCCTGGGATTTGAGGAACTTTTATACTGATTTCTATACCGAGATCCAATTTTCTTGCTAAATGCAGCCCCCATTTAAGGAGTGGGGACGACAACAAGGATGCCAAACCCTAGAAGGAGGAGACAGCAGGGACCCAGGGAGCGGAGGGGGTTCTTAAATGTCTCTCCTTCCAAACTGCTCATGAGCTTTTTGTGAAGACTTGTGTGTTGCTGAGTGGAAAACACTCGGATGGGTGTAGAGGGCTGCGAGCAAAGCACTGCTGTTTGCTGCTGCTCTCGAGCGCCCCCTGTCTCATTCCTGAGCACACGTCACCTCTCACACAGGCGTGGGTCTGTATCTAGACTCTGTGAGACCTGTTTGTCTATTCCTGTGGTGGGCGTCATGACTAAGTATCTTATGCTCACTTAAGAAGGCTAAGGAATGTGAAGAGCTTCAGATATTCTTTCTGTGTCTGTCTGTGAGGCCGTTTTGAGAAGTGATTGCCAGAGTCAAGATCACTCAGTTGGCTGAGAGCCTGAAGAGAATGAAAAGGTGATGCAGAGATGAACTCACTGTATCTCCGTGGGCTGGGTACCCATATTCTCCTGATCTTTGTATAGGATAGTTCCTGGATCTTTGGCAATTTTAATTACCTTGTTTACATAATAAGTCTTCTTAGCTGTAAAGCCTCTCACTAAGCTTTCCCCTTCCCGAAAGCGTGTTGGATAATTTTGTCCCCTTGATTTCTCCATCTAAAGGCTGGAGCATAGTTGCAGCCACATGGCTCTGCCGTAGGGAGAGGACAAGACTTCAATGAGAATATGAGGATATAGGGATGACCCTGCAGGATACAGCAGTGTAAAAGGGTAGAGTTTCCTTCCCAGCCCTGTCTCCTAAAAGACCGCGGGCTGAGACACCTGTTTCCTTGCAAAGTAAGACACAGAAAGTGTATGGGTAGGCACCTGGGGGTAGGGGCTAGCCAGAGTCAGACAGTCTCTTCTGATTGTTTCTTATCCTACTTCCCCAGGAAGTTAGCACTCCTGGGGAGTGTTAACAGTCACCTAAGTCAGGAAAGCTGCAAGAACTCTACAATTTCAATGAATTTTATATTCCAAATATCTGGAGTTGTTTCAGATTCCACCGGAAATGTAAAAAGTAAGAAGATGCTTCCTTTTTTGTTTTTTGTTTGTTTGTTTTGAGACATCATCTTACTGTATGTCTTTGGGTGGCCTAAAATTCATTTTGTAGACCAGGCTGGCCTCAAATTCACAGGGTCCTGGGTTCCATCTTTAACAATTTAAAAAACATTTGGAAGTCTGAGGGTGTAGCTTAGTGGTAGAGTATTTGACTAGCATGCAAGAGGTCCTGGACTCCACTTTCAATACCACCTCATCCCTAAACACACACTAAAGCGATTTATGAGAACCTTGGGTTTGAACAGGTTATGCGTACCTGAAGTGAGCAGCTCCATGGAGATTCATGGTGGAAGAAGCAGTTATCCCCCTTTATGGTCCAGCTCCAGGAAGTGATGTTTAAAGAAATGATGCTTCATTTTCAATAGAGTTTTCTCTGGCCTATGAAAGTTAGTTAGTCCTAGGACATTAACAAGGTAAAAAGCATAACAGTGAATTACGACAATGACACAGGATAATATTTGCTCAGCTATTTGAGGATCTCCATAGCTGAATCTCTTCTAATTAGATTCACTACCCAGTGACTAGTCTTAATTCATTATAAACATTTTCAGAGGTTTAATGATCAGGATCAAGCTGAAGTAGCTGGGGTCGTTCATACATTTAAATGACTCCTCAAAAACGGAGGGAGGTGACCTAGAACCTCATGTGGCCTTCCAAAATCTAAACTATTCCCCCAAAGTCTGCATTTCCTCCCAACTGAGGAACAGGGAATGTGCTTGATAAAAAATATTTTGAAATACAAAGCTAAATATTCTTTGTAGTAATTTATGGTTTTATATCATTACTTTGTAATTAGCCTCTCTATAGATTTGCTTGTGCTGAGGAGAGTGAGGCTTAGAGAAATGATGTATTTTTTTTTCAGTCTCATTGGTCTGTTTTTTTAAGGTAAGTTTCTCCAACAGAGTCTTGTTGGGAACCTATCCGTCTTTGTTGTTGTAAAGATCTATAAAGAATCCAGGTCATTTGACAATGCTGTCTGCCGCCCGCCCGTAGACGTTTCTGTCTTTGATGGGAGCTGAGCTGACCTTTGGTAAGTGGATCTCAGTACCACAGAGGCACTAAGAACAGTGCAGGCCTGCACACAATTTGCAAGTTTATGCTCTGCAGAGTAGAAGGTTTTTGTTTAGATCTTACTAGAGACAAGTCTGAGACCTGGCTAGTCATCAGAGCTAAAGAACTCCAAAAAGATGCTGCCCTCCTGTTCTTGGAGTTCTTGGAGATGGGACGGTGGGATGGCTAAATGGCAAAACCTATTGCTAAAGAGATGCAGGGTTCTCTCTCTCTCTCTCTCTCTCTCTCTCTCTCTCTCTCTCTCCCTCCCTCCCTCCCTCCCTCCCTCCCTCCCTCCCTCCCTCCATCCTTCTCTCTCTCCATCTATCTGGAGGTCCTCAGGAAGGAGTTGTGAATCCCAGAAGCCCTGTGATTTGGCCCTGTGGTGTGATCAGGCTACATGCTCTGTTCTCCCTCTCTTTCTAGATTCCATTATTGTATGGGTCACCCGAGTGTTCAGGGGAGGGAAGGCTTGTGCTATTCCTTGATTTCCTGCCAGAAAGGACAGGAGCTTTCTCTCTCTTGACCTCCTCAACACCATTAGTCTCCCACTTCTTAGCACTATAAAATGTGTCACCCGAGGCATTTCTATGCTAATACAGTTGTTAATGGTGCCAGACTGGAAGCATTTCCTCTGCCTTCACAGGTGATTTGGAGCATTCTCCCCAAGGTAAATACCCACATAGAGTTTATTATGCGTGGGCAACACACAGCTTTTGAATCCTAGGACCGATGACCTGGTAACTAACAGGCAGTGATCTCAGAGTCAATTTGACTAAACTTTATGATGAAATTTACCATATAACTGACTTACATAATAAGGCAGCCGTTTATCAGAGAGAAAATAAGAAAGCAGCATCAGCTGTTAATCTAATTAGCAGCGTTCACAGGCTGTCATATAAGAGGCCGACTGAGGCTACAAGGCAACCTGTTCTGGAACTTTCTTGCTTATCTTGTATACATATGCATTTCTGGCATCTCTCTCTCTCTCTCTCTTTTTCTCTCTGATTGAATGTATGTATGTATGTATGTATGTATGTATGTATGTATGTGCAAACAGGGTAAAGAAAACTGAACTAGTACCTATGCTTGAAATTGAGCTGTACATGTGAATCCCCGCTCTCTTTTAGGATAGCATCCTTGGAGAAGTCAGTGTCATGAGTCTGTCATTTTCCTCCGTAAGCCTTCATTATAATTATTTGTTGTCCTACAGCTCTGCCTGCTGGAATCGATGTTGGCACACTACTATCAAACACAGCACGGATGCATTTGGCAGGGGCTGGGGTGTGGGTACACATGCTGCAGAAAGGACAGCTGGACTCTGCCACCTGTCATTCCTGGTGATGTTGTTTGTGGGACTCCCAACTTTAGGGAATATCTACATGCTGTTGGAGAGAAAAAGCAGGCATGGCATTTGAACTCTTGAGGGACCTGGCAATTCACCTGGTGAATTACTCTTTTTTGGTTTCCTTTGGATATTTCCCTTTTTTTGAACATTTGTCTCTCAGCTCATCATAAACACTATGATTTTATGCACATGCACTTTAAATTTTGTTATTTATTTATTTGATGTATATAGGTGTTTTGCTTACATGTATGTCTGTGTATCACTTGTGTGACCGGTGCCCCTGGAGGCCAGCAGAAGACATCAGAATTTTCTAGGATTGTAGTTACAGACAGTTTGTGCTGCTATGTGTGGGTGATGGGAATTTAACTTGGGTCCTCTGAGCACAAGAGCAGCAAGTGGTCTTAAAAGCTGAGCCATTTCTCCAGGTCCCACATGCTCCAGCTTACTGGAAACCATTCAACAATCTGGTGGATGGCTTTGCCAAATAGTGTGGGACGGCCATTAACCAGATCGCAGGGGAAAGGAGAGAAACAAAGGCCCGGATACTTAAATATTGTTCGTTTCTGTAAACTTGCTTACTTTAAACTCATACGATGTTCTTCATTTCCTTTCTTTTGTCTCAGAAGGGCTTCATCACAGAGAATTCAAACGAAACGTACAAAATTGAGGCTTTGATCCTTATGTGGGGGAAGCTTGCTTGACACGATTCATAACTTCATAGCTCCAGCCCACTTCAAAACTCAAACACAAAGCAGCCACAGAGAGCTTCAGCCTGGGAATAAGGACCATTTGGGAAGCTCATGACTCCACTGGCACATCTCTCGTTTGGATAAGGTAGATATGTGGAAACCTTTTCTTGAGGTCTGTATGCCAAGTGCCATGGGTAATTTTTAAAAATATATTTTAATCAACGTAACATTAGCATGTTCTCTCTCTCTCTCTCTCTCTCTCTCTCTCTCTCTCTGTCTGTCTCTATCTGTCTCTCTCTGTTGTGTATGTGTCTCTCTCATGACAGGGTCTCACTATGTAGCCTCAGATGCCTTTATTTTCTGGGTAATGGAATAACAGACATGACACGCATATTGCCTGACATAGTATGTTTAGATAAACATTAGGCAAATGAAAAATATTTTAGGCACCTAAATTGAACATTTCATGAATTTGTTAATCTTTTTTTCTCCTTAATCCCTGAGCAATTCTAGAAGAATGCTTTCCTCTTCCTAAAAGTCTCATTAAAACACATTTGTATTAAGGTCAAATGATGAATACTTTATTTTATCTTTATTTTGCATTTTAAAAATAGGTGTATAGTGCTGGAACTTGCTATATAGCATAGGATGACTCAGAACTTCAGAAAATCCTCCTGCCTCTGCCTTCCCAGTGCAGGGATTACAGGTCTGTGTCACCAGAACTGGATTTAAATAAAACATCTGAACACATGCTTGTAAGAACATTGACTCCTTGACAGAAGTATTAGGGTTTTGTCTCAAAATTATCAGTTGGGTCAAATGCTTATTTTTTAAGTCTCTATTTATAAGGTAGAGAAGTAGAAAGAATCCTAGAAAGAGAAAATATTCCCAGAAAGAGGAATAGCAGCACATTCTCACGGATGGCACACACCATTTCTAACATCTGGTCATCCTAAAATACCGTGATCATGAATCACATGTAATTCAGAACTCATGTTCCAGAGAAATGAAATGCCTGCTACTCCCAAAAGGAGTCCATAGGCCTAGAAGTACCGTTTAGTGGTAGAACGTTTGCCCAGCATAAGTGAGGACCTGGCTTCCAGCCCTCTTCCCATCTCCACCACCAGTGGAAGAATCTTGGGGAAGCTGATATTGTTCCTGCCCAGAAGTAGAAATGAGCTAATGTACTTAAAGGGGCTTATGGGCACATAAATCCCCAAATACCTGTGCCTGAAGATCCTAGCCCACTCTGGGAAGGCAGGGAGGGGCTCACATTTAGGCTGAACAAAGAAGTAATTATAGGCAGAAATCTAAATCTTAAGCTAGAACAAAGAAATAGGCTTCAGGCATGAAAATGACTTTGGGCTAGGACAGGGAAGTAGGCTCAGATATTTTGGTCATCCTGATAAGCCCTTAGAAATAGTAATCACAGGAGTGATCACGGGACTCTGTTTATTGTCGTTTGTGTTCTTTTACTATCTGGGTGTATTGTCTTGCTTGTTCCTTGAATATTTGCATCTATTGTATTGCTAGTTCCTCAACCTAGAACTGACCTTAATACTTGCATGTAATTTAAACAGTATAAAGGCAAAAAAAAAAGAAGGAGGAGGGATGGGATGGGGGATTAATGGGGGGAGGAATGGGGAAGGGGGATTGCATCTGAAATGTAAATAAATAAAATATCGAATAAAAAAAAAGAAAATGTGTTTTCAGGAAAAAAATTTGCTTGTATTTCATGACTACAATGTAAAACTTTCTCCAAGAGCAGAATTTTTGTGTTATTTTTTCACATTTTTCATTTGCTGTAGTCATTGCTACATTTACAGTTGAATTAATTAGCATGCTAAAGCAATTGCTTTAGGTTTATGGGATCTGAATTGTGTTCAGAACCTTTCAGTGGGCAGGTTGTTGAGGTTCAAATGTTTGATTCTTGCCTGATTATCTGTATGTGAAATTCTGAGTGGAGAAAAATGCTGAATTAACTCTTTCAGTAATAAAGATTAGTTTGGCGTGTTTACATTAGAACTCTTGTCTCAACATCTGAGCTTTTGAATATGCTGATTAATTTTATGCATAGGCTTTTGAACACAGGAGGGAGAAAAAAGACACTGAGACATTTTTATTTTATTTGTATTTGTTTATCTCTGTCTCTCTGTATATGTGTGTACATGTTAGTGGTTGCCCTTGGGGGCCAGAAGAGGGTGTTGGATTCCCAGGAGTAGAGTTCAGGAGATATTGAGCCATCTGACCTGAATGTGGAGAACCTAGAACTAGGGTTGTTTGAGGAGCAGTAAACACTTTTACCACTGG